AATGGTTGAGCTTCGACGGTAATAGTATTACCGCTTAAATTTCTAACAAAAATCTGCATCTTGATTATTTATTATTTGTATTAGTTACTTGTATATTTATATATTTATTATTATCCGTTTAAAAGAAAAAAAAATTTTTTTTGATGAAAATCATCAAAATTTCCAATAATCACAAATTGTGACATACAGCATATATCAATTGATATTAATATTAATCGGGAAATTAAAATAAGTTTTACCATGCTTCAGTCATCATATAGCCATCATATTATTATAATTGTTGATATTATAGCTTTTGCTATTGCTATAATTAATATAATAGCATTTCACATGTAGCGCATCAAAAAGGGTTTAAATAAACATTAAAGCATACGATGGAATCCAAACATTTTCGCCATACTTAAACTGCTACAATGTATTAAGAATATTAAGAATGATATTAAATTACTAAACCACAAACGAAATGGTTTGTACCAAATCACATCATGGTTTAAGTGCTAATGGCCGATATATATAATAGTTTATTTGATCAATTGCATGAAAATGGATTATCAAACCCAATAGTCTCGGTGCCAATCAACGACATTACGTATTAGTCTTAGCATTCCATAGTAATAGTTACAATCTAGTAGCGAAAAAAATTCATCTTTTTGATTTAACAACTATTTAAATAAATAAATAAATAAATAAAATTCAACGGTGAAAACAGTTTCATAATGTAATATTTGTACGTTTTGTCTCGCCTATACACATATCAGTCAAACATTTAGTGTTTCCTTGTTTGATAATTTACAATTATTAGTGCAAAGTTTTTAAATCGGTCCTCTCGACTTTGCTTATATTATTTAAAAGAATCTAAGCACACTTATATGCTGGTAAATTTTATATGGTTGCCTCGTTTATTTTTTTTTTTGTGATATTTTCTTGCTCGAATGAGTTCTATTTTTTTACATAAAACTTTTTAATTGCTTTATTTTGGGTTTGGGCCTTAAATCTGATGTCTTGATTTTTCAATGCCGGTTTTTCAGTGATATTAATATCTTTGAAAAATTGTGTTGGTTGTTTTTCTTATAATCACAAAATAAAAATAAAAAAGCCAGCAATAATATGATGAATTAAAAAATTTGGGGTTTTAAAGCTATAAAACAATTACTATTTACATTTTTTTGTCAATTTCAACTTGAACAGGAATTACAAATTCATACAATATAAAGGATATATATTTGATTTTATACAACTTAAAATTTATTACAACAAACCTTTTGAATTTAAACGTCTACACTTCTTTATCAGTTGAGCAAACTTTTAAATTATTAAAAATTTGAAAGTTATGAGAAATTATAATATACAGACTTTTTTTTAATATTTAGTTTTATGGTAAACATAAAAAGACCATTAAAGATTGAATGCCTATTATATGGTGGCCGAAACTAACCAGTAGTTTAGGCATTTAGGTAATTTTACTTTAGGCATTTCGTCCACGAAAATTTTCTGGAAAACTTAAACTGTGAACGAAACTGGGAGGCTCCTAACTGCGGGCGGAAACCAAACAGATGGTTATAATTAAATTTAAAAAAATGTTTACAGTCGGAACTCGATAAGATGGAACTCGATAAAATGAATTTTTGTTATATAACGGAGTTTTAATATGCATTGTTTATACATTAAAAAAAAAAAAGAAAAATACCATTTAAAATGTTTGGTGTAATGAGTTCTGGACTGTAGAATATATTAATATCAATATTAATATAGTTATAGTGATGGAGGAGATAGACTGTTTATACACTATTACTAACTATTACTATAGAAAAAGCTTTGATTCAATTCGTTAGTGACTTTCATTATTATTAATATGTATATGGAAAATCTCCTAATCGTATTAGTAATATATAATAAACATGGATCGGATGCAAGCGAATCACATGTTGAATCAACGTCATATTTCACAACAGTTATTTATAATTTATTACTACTATCTATTTATCTATTTACACTATTAAAAGGTTGTTATTTTTTTTTAAAAAAAAATTTACATTATTAATAAAATGAACTGTTTATTTTATTCCTTCGAAGATTCAAGTACATCAGCACATTCGGACAAAGAATGCCAAATTCCGGTAAAAATGAGTACTTTCCTTTTTTATATTTCTACACGTTTGATTTATTATTCATTATTAATTAATTAGTTATTATTATTGTTATTTTAAAGGTGTATGTGAATGTGTATGATATGGTAAGTGTAAAAAATATCATTTATAAAAAATATTACAAGTTGCTTTAAATTTTAATAACTTTTTTTAAATAAATAAAAGCTGCCAAAAAGAACCATTACAGATGTTGCATATAAATTTGGAGTTGGTAATAATTAAATCATGGAAAATAATTAATTTGTAAATTATGAATGTGCTAATTAATGTTAATTAATTGTTTATTTATTTAGGAGTATTTCATTCTGGAGTAGAAGTATTAGGAAGAGGTACTAATCATAATCGTAATCATAATTGTAATCATAATAATTGTAATAGCTGGATAATTGATTATTCGTTATTATTCTTAATTATTTAATGATTTTTAGAATATAATTTTGGCGGGAGTGATGATGATTCTACTGGAGTATTCGAATTACCTCCAAGAATGGGACCACCAAATGTCACTTACAAGTAAAAATATAATTATATTCACATTATTATAATAGTAGGAATAGTTTATCACACAATAATAAATATTTTATCATAATTTCAAAAAAAAATTTTTTAGAGATTCCATTTTAATCGGATATACTAAGTATGATAAAGAAGAAATCAAAAATATAATTCAAGAACTATCAAAAGAATGGAAAGGAAATACCTATAGGCTATTAACAAGGTATTTTCTAGTTATTTACGAATATCTACAATTATAAACCAATTATAATATTTAAATAATATTTGATATTATTAGGAATTGTAATCATTTTACAAATGAATTATGCCTGAGATTGGTTGGTAAAGCTACTCCAAGTAAGAATATTTTTGAATATTTATTACATCTCACACTTTTTTATATACCACATATCTCATGATATTTGTATATATTTATATTATAGATTGGATAAATAGAGCAGCAAGGTTTGGTTCTTACTTTCCATGTAAGTTTAATGGATTCAAGAAAACTAATTCATGGCCCACATTCATTATATTTTCAACAAACATATATTTTTCAATTTCATTTTTAAATATCTTTTCGCTGAAATATCTTTTTTGGGAGGATACTTGAGATTTATTATTATATTTGTAATAATCAATAATATATTTAATATCTTTATTATTTTTATTATAATTAAAAACAAAAGGTGTTGTCCCTACATCTGGTTGGATTGATCCACCAGAATCTGAAGCAAATGATTGTAAGTAAATCTGATTAATTGCTTGATATTGAAATGTTTTAATTGATCAATTAATCATTACTAATATTAATGTTTTCAGTGGAAACCAAATCAAAATTAAATTCGGCTAACATATACACACTACTATCAGCATCGCCATTTTCTACTCCACCTTCAACACCATCTTCAGAAACTTCATGCAAATCATTTAATATGTTAAATCAAATAATAAAAAAGGAAACAAAACCAACAAAAACACCCAGTAATTAAAAAATTCATTAGCATTAAAATTATAAATATGAACATTTAGATTTTTATTTTCATAATCTTTCTCTTTTTATTATTATTATTATTATATATAATATATTAATGTATTATTAATAATTAATTTTTACCTATTTATTTACTTTTATTTCTTTTCTAATAATGTTAATTTTTAAAATTTTAACACAATGAAATATTTTTTCACCTTCAATCAATGCAAACACAATACTTGAATTTTCATTTCATTTTTTAATTTCTATTACATAAAAAATATAATATTATTTTCTTGTCTCCTTACCAAGAAACAATTAGATTAGACAATGGTTTTTCTTTTTAAATGATTGTTTTATACACAAAAAAATCAAATCAAAAACCCTTTTGATATTCAAAAAAATAAATCTTTATAAACATAATAATATTTTAATACTTTACTATTGGTTAGACTATTTGTTTATCCTTTCTCTTATTTTATCATCAAAGAAACTAAATAATCTATTTAAATATATTTTTAAATAATGGATCCACACTGAATAATCTACTAAATCTTTGAATAAATTTACATTGTTAATCATTTGTTCAATAAAATCTTCCTCCTGAACTTTCCTCTTCCATTATTTTTTTCACTTTTATCATTAATTGTTTCTTGATAGCAATAATGATAATGATGTTTTCCTCAAAACAGTATATCAATTCTTTTCAAATATGCATATAAATGTAAACATGAATTTATAAATCATACATAGATCTTTATTTCTCTTTTATGATTTCAAAAGCACAAAAATTACAATTGTTAAATTATAGGCTTGGTTCAATGAAATAGGTGCATCATCATAATAAAAAACTAGTGATTCCAAAGTAACATTTCTTCAGGAAATAATCATTATTGATTGTCCTGAGATGAAGTGACCCATATTATGAAAGTGATTTCCTTTATTTGTTGAAGTTGAGTACCATGTTGCAATGCTAAATTGCCAACCTTAACAAATATTTATGTATGAATAAAATAATGAATAGATAAATGGATTTAATTGCAATTAGTTATATCCATAACATTTTTTTAGCAGCTGATTGTTTCCTTTTAATATTCCATAATTTTTCTAGGTCATCATGATAAAATCTCAATTAACAAGTTTCAAAAAAATGGCTAGTTTCTTAAACTAAAATTGGTTACACCTTAACATTTTTTAAAATTCCAAATTTTTATTATGCTATGCACTGAATCTAAATAAATTTTACCAAATTTGATCATGTAATTCAAAATTATATGTAATCTATAGCATCCCTCAAATGAAATTGTGTCCACCACAACCTTTCTTATTTAATAAATGATATTCAAAACACCCTATTTCCATTAAAAAAATTTCTTTGGGGGGTTGCATATCACAAATAAAGAGATAATAATAATATGTGTAAAACAAAGTTCCCTTTTTTGTTATAAAAATTTGTGATATGGTTATGTAGACCTCATAACCAGTGTGTAACTAATGCAGATTTCTACAAATTTAGAAACTATCTGCAGAAAACTGCTAATGTACGATGTTACACCCACACATTCCACACATTGAATTTTATACACTGCTCATAACCCCTCTAAAATTATTACGTATACAGTATATTCTGTATATAATACAACATTTTCTAAACAAATGAAATTATTACATCAAAATTATTTTAATAATAATAAAATTTAAAAATCTAAACAATGTGATGGGTAAAATTAGCTTCTAATTCTAGTAGCCCCTTAAAAATTTATATGACCTTCATAAATTTGTCTCAAAATTTCATACCCTAAAATGTCTTTCAACCTTCAACCTCTTAAAGCTTGCTTAGCAGAGAAAGAACAAGCTGCACAAATTGGTGGATATGTATTAATGATGGTCAGATTTACAGAAGTGTATCTAGCAACTGAGTTGTCATACTATTTGCAACCAAGTGCCAAAATCTGTAATTCTCTGTAATATGTAAATGTGTCTGTAAAACTGTAATATCATAAATCTTACACATATATAATTTTTATGCAACAAAATTTTTTATAAATGAACAAAAAACCAAGAAAAGAACCAAGCAATTCTATTAATCATGACAGACAATTCACAGGTGTATGTAGGCAATTTATTCAAGTTCAAGAAAAAGGAAATGACATATATGAAGGTGAGTGTATAAGTTGTCATAAAAATGGTCATTTGCAAAACATGGAATTTTACATTCTCATCTAGCAAATGGATACAAATTACCAATTATTTGAAGGAAAATAAAGTAGTAATGACACAAGATGAAGTTCAAGATTTATTAAATAAATCCATGGAAGAAGAAGATGAGGATAATAATGATGATGTAGTTGAGAATGAAATTAGTATTGCAACAGAAGAATCAAATATTCCAAATTGTGAATTTAGATGTATATACAAGTTGTGATGTTTTTGAAATGTTTAATGAAGACAATGCAATAGAAGAATTAGATGTGGATTTTTTGATGAAGTGATGATTATGGTCCCATAGAAGTAGTTCATGAATTAATTGGTTATGGTTATAAGTTTTTAAATTTAAAGTTTTATAAATAAAGTTTATGATTTACATTTGTGTAAATTGCAGAAAAATTTGATTTGGTTATAACTCCCAATTACATAATGAATTACAGAATTACAGATACATTTACATATTCTAACAACTGCATACTCAAAAGGTTGTCATATTACAGATGGCATCATTAGTTATTAATAAATACTTATTGGGCAAACAGCACTATTAAACTATTTTTGGTTGCTTTGTTATTTTAGGTACAAAATGACATCAATATGATTGATATACTATTTATACAACATTCTATAAGATATAATTAAATTTAATAAATAGTGACATTTGAAAGAATAGCTTAATAGTGATTGTCTGATAACATCAATATTGGGTGTGTGATGGATAATTTCAGCGACATCCAGGATGTCATGATATTGGCTGCTGTGCACCCAATATCTTATACATAATATGTATTTATTAATAACATAATCATGAGCATGGGCACAAATTTGTGCATTTTGTCTATATAAAAAATAAAAAATAAAAAATAAATTAATATTTTATCTTAAAATATAATTGTAATGATATTTTATATTATATATACCTCATCATTATTTAAATTGTTGTGGTGATGATGATAGTTGTGGTGATGGTTGTGATGATGATAAGTCCTATAAATATAATTAAAAAAAAAATCAAATAAAATGTTTTGTCTACTATTAATGTTTCAGTTTATACTTACATCTTAGCAGCAGTGTTTTCTATTGTAATTTATTCACCTCCCAGTTTGAAGATTGTAGCTTCTCTGTAAGATTTCAAAAGTCAAATATATGAGTAAAAATAAATCAACATACTAATAAATAGCAATGCTTTCTTCCTCAGATACACTGATATTGTTATCATTACCATTATTGTTAGTAAGAGATTCCTCAATCAGTTTATGTGTCAATTGATGATCATCATCCATTTATTACCATCAGATTTTGATACCATCAGGAAATTTTTCCTGATGTAGTAATATTACATCCATAAGTTTTAATATGCAATGTTGCTATATTTGCATGAAAATTATGTAACTAGTGTAATAATTACATAAATCCATGCCAGAAAAAATTTCCTGATGGATTTATTAGATAATAATTGTGTGAAAATATCATTATTAAAAGGTGCTGATATATCATCAGAAATCGAAAAATTGTGAGAGTTCTGTAGGAGGAGTTACATTTGGTAATGAAGTGTCTATTTGTGAGATAAAAGGAATTGGCATCCTACAAAAAATATACATGTGGAATGTATATGAATGTATGAATGTATGAATGTAGTATTTATAAATGCATATATATATAAAATAAATCATTTACTTTTGTTGTAGGACTTCTATTTACATAGTCTGTTTGATATATTCTTTAGTGACTCTATTAAATTTTCTTAAGCTTCAAAAAAATTCTGTCAGTTGTTTCTTCTTTAGACAGATCACAAGCCACCCTAATTCTATTACAATTAATGATGTTAGCCGTTTAAAATCCTTATCTGGCTAAGCCTTTACTACCTAAATTGGTAATTTTATTGCTATAACCAGAAAGTAACACAAATCTGTTACCAAATTTAGAAATTATGTAAACTGACTAACACCACTAATTACAATATTTTTAGCAATATAGTTGAAATCTTCAAATAGACCTTCTTTTTTTATCTCTATTTTTTCTTATTTGTGGTTTGAAAGACATTATTATTATTTATTTAAGTCTCTGAAGTATCACTAGAATAGTGGCAGTGGTTCCATGCAGCTACCACTTTAGAAAAGGGCAACCATTGCTCTTTTTTAACAGAATGACAATGAGCAGTGTCAGTTGCCATCACCACTGCCATTCTTTTTTAATGAATAATACTTACTTACAACTAGCTCCTCATTCATTCCCTAATATTATTTTTGCTCTTGATTATTTTTTTTTTGGTATTTGATTTTCTTTAAAAAAAAAAGAAGTTGTGTTTTTTATTTTATATAAAATGTTATATTGTTAAAATCAAAGTGCGGATGGGTATTTATTACAAGGTTCTTGGTAATAATAAATTATTGATATTATTTTGCTATTTGTAATAATAAATTGATTGACGATCCATCTATGAATCAGTGAAATGTTGATGATCCTTTTACAATTAAACTTTGATAAGCTGAGCCATTATAAACCGATTTTTGTTTATAACTATGCAAAATAAAACATAATTAATAAAATTATTTTGTTAAGCCGAATTTAATATAATTTGATAGACTGAACTTAAAATAGTGTTGGTCGCCAAAACTATTTTGAAGAGACAAAAGTCAAAACTAAAATTAAAAGTTATATGTCAAAACTAAATCAAAAGTCAATAGTCAAAAATCAAAACTAGTTTCAACTTATGGTGAAGCCTTTTGACTTTCGCATGGTTGCTAGTTTTGGAAACCAACACTAACTTAAAACTTGATGTTGATGGTTATAAACCAATTTTAAAATTTGTCTTATTACTTAAAAGTAAATATCTACACACGAATAGTAATAACACTACCATAAAGTTTGGAAAGTTACGTGACACCTGTGACATTGCCTTTTTAGTAATTTTTATGATTTGTCACGCACAATTTATTGTATGAATCGTCATAATTTCATAGAAAATTGATATTTATCACGGATGCTATCTTTCCAGACTTTACAGTAATACTGATTCACTAATAAACCGAGTTTGATAAGCTGACTTATTATTATCCAAAAGTTCTGCTCATTGAGATTTAACTGTAATATTAAAAAAACGAGGAAATATCTTATAGAATGATTGCAAAAATATCTTCCACATCTCAATAATGTGATAAAATTCAATAGTGTTCCATCTCGCAACCCCAAAAAGGAAACAAAATGGTTGTAAAGGTAGTTTCAACCAGCGGTTTCAATCATTTTCATATGACATAAAGATGGTAGCAACCATCATCAAAAGTTGCAGCCGGTATCCTTAAATAATAAAAGTTCAATCATTTGTAGCTGAATACTAAATAATTGAATAATAAAAATAACTACAGTCAAATCTTGTCACAGTGGACCTCGCCACAGCGGATTATAATTTTAAAATCCTTGAGTCACATATAAAAACATATAAAATCCGTTGTGGCAAGATTAGCAATCTTGCCATAACGAATTTCAAATAAATTTTCTTATATTAATATGTCCCGTTCATCTGTTGTGACAAGGTTTGAATGTATAGACTAGTTTTTGTTAATAAGTTACATGAAGATCCCTAAGAGCAATCCCTTTTTTTTCGATATTCTTAAAAAAAAATTGTATAGATATGTTCTTTGTCATTTGTTTCATAAAATAAAAATATTATTTTAAAGTATATTACCATTTTTTTATACAAAGTCGTCGATTGGTGACATTTTCCTCCGCAAATCCTTATTTAGAGTTCACCGATTCATAATTTGACATGAAACAATTTGATATGATTATTGAAAATTGACAAATATTTGATCACATTATCATCATGTATGCAATCTTTCTGCCGCATCACAATTAACAAGTACAAGCATGATATCTGATAATAAGTTAATTAATCTCAACGAAGAAGTAAAATTGATTTATGGTGTTATTTATTCATTAAGAAATTTTGTTAAGAAATTTACTGGAAGGTGAGTTGGGAAACAACGATAAATAAATAAATATTTTTATATTCCAATAACCGCATATTTTTATTGTTATTAGTCAAAATGGGGGAATGGTACATCAAATTGATTATAAATTACGTTATTATGAAACTCCGATAGGTTTAAATACATATCGAAATGCTGAAGGTATCAAGACAAATTTATGTAAATTTTTATGTAAATTTTTATTGTTAAAAATAATTTATCCCCAGCTGAAAATCTACATGGTGAGGGCGCCAATTAATGCCACCGTTGAAAAAAGTTTTAACATTTGCCGTGTCACGATCTCCTTCCAAAACTCGCAAGTCGTGCGACTTCCGTGCAGTTTTCTCGCCGATTG